GAAATTTGGCCAAAGTCACTGTACTATAGTACAGGTACTTTGACCCAGTTTTTGAGCAACTTTAAAAATTCATAAAAAATCCAATTTTAATCGTAACTAGCTCAAAATTTTTACACAATATAAGTACATGTACGTGTATATGCACAAGTAAAAATTATAAAAGTCTAAAATTCTTACATAGGTATTTTTGGCGAAATTTGGCCAAAATCACTGCAGGTACTAGTTTGACTCAGTTTTTGAGCAACTTTAAAAATTCATAAAAAATCCAATTCTAATCGAAACTAGCTCAAAATTTCTACACAACATAAGTACATGTATATGCACAAGAAAAAATTATTAAAATGTAAAATTCTTACTTAGCTATTTTTGGTGAAATTTGGCCAAAGTCACTGTACTATAGTACAGGGACTTTGACCTGGTTTTTGAGCAACTTTAAAAATTCATAAAAAATTCAATTTTAATCGAAACTAGCTCAAAATTGCTACACAACATAAGTACATGTATATGCACAAGAAAAATTATTAAAATGCAAAAAATTCCTATCTAGGTATTTTTGGCAAAATTTGGCCAAAGTCACTGTACTAGTACAATGACTTTGGCACAATTTTTGAGCAACTTTAAAAATTCAAAAAAATCCAATTTTTAATGGAACAAACTCAAACTTTCTTGCATGCATATGTATGCGTATATGCACCAGAAAATGTAAAAAATTCTTTCCTAGCAAGTGACAAGAAACTAAGCATTATGGTCATCAAATAAAATGCTATTCTAGTAAAGAAGACAAAACTATTATTTGTGTTCAGAACTGCTTTTTTGTACACATAGTCATGTAGCATCGAGAAATGTCATTTTTAACAAGGAAAAAGGGAGCTAAACCCAGATAAATATACCTAATAATATAATGGTAAGTGATGTACATGTACCGTATTTTACCATATAAACGCCTGGTCCAAATAAACGCCTGTCATTAATATATTCTAGCTATAGATACGCATATTTCTACCAAAAATAATGCCCCAGTGTTTAGATAGCCCCACTGTTTAGATGGCTCCAAAGTGCTTAAAAGTTAGAGCCTGGTCTAACTTTCCTGGAGTTGGGGGTTCGATTCCCGCTCAGGGTCACTTTTTAATTTTTTTTCAACGAATTTTTTGCTGCTAAGAAATAAACGCCTGGGCGTTTAATCGGTAAAATACGGTACATGTACATGTAGTGTGAATTGGCATGAGTAATTAAACTACTGTACACTATACATTAGTTGCTATACAATTTTTCATTTGCATGAACCACATACCCGTATATTGATGAACCTCCTCTTCCTGTACCTGTTGGATCTCCACCTTGTATTACAAAATCCTACAATAATCAATAATGAAGAACAGTATGCATTAAATTTGTTCTCTGGTATTAATACAATAACATATATTCAGCAAACTTGGCATTACAGCACAACTTAATATTATTAATAATGCTATCACTGTACTTTAACTATTCTGTGAAACTTTACATTATTGTAGTATCCAGTTGTAGCCTAAAAACAAGAATTAAATCAAGCTCTTGTTTATACATGTACTGTATGATACATAATACTTTTACTTCTGCCATATTCCTCTGTTCTGTTACATGTAAATATTGATATTGGAGAGTACTATGCCTATCATGAAGAGCTCTTGTTATCATGACAGACCAAAAAAATTCTGAGTGATGATAAAACTTAGCAAAGGACATTACCCTAATTTTATCACTGCTAGTCTGATTTCTTCATCTGCAAAAGCAACACAATCTACTAACCATTCTACCTTCAATTCTATCACCAATATGGCTGACAGAAAAAAAGTGAACCCCTTAGGTTACTATGCCTAATTCAGAGCAACAATTACCAGCTTACCACATTATGGTTTATTATGCAATGAGTTAAACCTTAGTTTTACAATTTCAATTCTTGTCAAAACCAAAGCTAGGTGGCCGAGTAGGTGATGCTATAGATAAATATATAAATAAAATTTTACCAGACTTTTGAGGGATTAAACTTTTGCGGATGCACCCAAAAATCATTTTTGCAGGCTTTAATTTTTGTGAATCTGACAAAATTGCGAGCAAAAGTTATTGGCCTTGAAAGTTTGCTTGTAGCTGGCAATGACAGGATTTTACCATTTGCTGCACTGCTAGGTTGATTACACTGCCTCATTTTGATACCCAATATTATATATATATAGCATGCAATTATAATACCATGATGATACACACATAAAATAGAGGCAGTTCTGGTGGGGTACATGAACATGATGGCAATAATTACTAATTCAGAGAAGTTTCTACAAGTCTTAGGAGCATGTTTCCAGTACAACTCAATGCCAATGTTACCCTACAATGAATAATGTCTTTATTACACTTCAGAGTCAGACGGGTCTTACCATAGACGTCTCTAGAACAACTTTTTCTGGAGCAGCCATGATTCTAGGAGTGGCGCACGGGCGGGGCTAGTCTCGCCGCGAGACTAGGGCGGGGCAGTGATGACATGGGTGTGGGTTTTTTTGCACGTACGTACAGCTACGCAAGTACGCGAATGTATTGATTGTGTTTGGCATCATAGATGCTCTACAAACACACACTCACTGCAAAATTTATGATTACATTTTAATACAAATTTAGTATTTAGATTTATGCTGTAGATCTATTTATAGAAATGGTTGACTCTTGAAAATTCTATTTTTGATGCTGGGGAATTTTTGCCACAAAACCCAGTTAATGATTGTTCCAGTACTAAAATCTTCCATTTCATTTCACAATACCTTGAAAACTTACAGCTAAAGCTTTTCTAGGTTACTGCTAGATCTAGACTCCTGCACAATTGAAACATTACTGGTAGATCTAGACAGTTGTGCACATAATTTTTTTATTGATTGTTGTGATCAGTGCTGGGGCATTAAAGCACCAAAAATGACCCTGTTGCATGGAAACATTGACTTTAGTTTTAACTGCATTCATTTCCTCTACTGTTCGTATTCATAATTATTAAGAATGCTGCTAATGATAAACATTTATCTTTTTATTATCATGTGACTCTTTTATTGACAAAGCAAAAAGTTTGGGTGTGTCAATAAACAAAAATGAAAAAATTTGAAGCTGAAAGTAAGATTGATTCTGCATTGTGACATAATGTTAATTTTAATGTTTCTTCAAGGTGGCAGTTTTTGTAAATTAGCATCAAAGCTGATGCTTGTCATTGGCATTCTTGGAACAACAATAATGCTCATTGCAGCCATCAATATTTACTTTATTACAACTGGGAAAGACACTGACTTGCATTCTATTGAAATTGGTGATAAACTTGACCAGAGCTCTGCACTAGTAACTGTTAATTCACCTGCATCATCATCAGTAACATTCTCTTCAAATGAAAAACCTTACACCATCCTGTTTTCTGACAATATTCCATTAACTGTCACAAATTATCTTCCACCCCAACAAATTTTCTTGATGTCACAGCTATCGTCAGGTGCTGAATACAGAGACTTCAATTATTTTGGGAGTAATGAGCCTATTTATTTGCTCTCAGGATCTTTAATCACGTACGACTTAACAATAAGTTCGATGAAAATGATCAATGCTACATATTTAGCTTGTCTCTATCTTTTCGCAAACAGAACACAACACGACAACTTTATAATGTATAATAGCAGTGTGGAGTATGATGATTCTTATTGTTTTATGTCAGCAGTCACACCAGGAGCTACAACTGCATCACATTCTTTCAATATTATAAAAGCTGGGCAGTACTATGTGGGTATGGAATTGCAGAGTGGTATTAGTATACAAGCAAATGCTTCTGTTTTGCAAGTATATTATAATACTGCTGGGTTTCAACAAATTAACTGCAGTGCAACATTTACCTGCTCATTTGACGTATGCAATACATTTATTTGCAATCAAAAGGCAACCACTTATTTTCTTGTCAAACCATCAAACAAAATTATTATTTTCTATTTTTCTACAAGTCCACAACTAAATGGATCAATATATGGTGGTTTTATTACAATTGTTGTTTTAGGGAGCTTATGCTGCTGTTTCAACTTTATCTGGTTCTGTTGTTTTTTTTATTGTAGATCTGGTAGATTTAATTCTACTCACAAGTATGATTTATTGGAACCAGCAAGAACCAAGGAATCAAAAAATACAAAAGACCAATCATTTTCATTAAAGTCTAACTCTGATAATTTTGGACCAGAACTACATTGGCCAAAATCTAAACTTGAAGAGTCATTTAATAGTACTCATGATGCAACATTTGGTGGCATTGTGCAGGCACATTTTGACCCTCAACATTTACCAAATTTACCTAGAATTGCTTTTAAAGGTATAATATCACTTAGAGATCTATACTCATTGTATGTTCATTTACTGCAGATCATAAATCTATTCAATCTAGTTCAACCAAAACACAACTTAAATCTGAAACCTCTTCACATTTAGATCTTGTTGATGTTGATGCCTACCAATCCCATAGTACTGTAGTAGAAACATACCAATTGTCAGATGCATGTCAATTTCATATACCGGTTTCTGAAAGAGGTAAAACATAGTTTCATTTTAATTATTTAAGGTGATTATTTATAGAAAAACCTTCATTTGAAAATTATTCAGATGTATTACTGCCACCTCAAACAAATGGTGAACAATTAATTGGTATGGACAGTATGTAAACACCACTCATAATTTTATACTATTTTAACAAACATAGGTGGTAAGCAAACTTGTAACTCATCATTAACAGAAAAATTACTTAAAAATATAAAAAGTATAATAAATCTATATGAATTTCATTTACTATTTTATGATTTACTTTAGATGCATTTGGTGAGGTGTATATGCTATCATTAGACAGTAGTGGTCTAGTGTATCACTGTAATCAGTATGGAGTGACTCTCATTATTCCAGAGGGAGCAGTAAAAGAGTCAACTACTGTATGGTTTGGAGCATGTCTGTTGAGTGACAAGTTTAAGTTTGGTGATTATGTACCAGTCACTCCTATTGTATGGGTACACATTGACAGAAAGCTGGATAAAAGTGCAGAACTGTACATTCCTCATGATGTTATCATTTCCAGTGAAAGCAATTTACAGCAGTTCGCTATACTAACAGCTCATGATGACTGCTCTGATGTAATAAGTTTCCAAAAAAATTATATGCCACAACTTCAACTTGAATCTGGCTTCCAAATTTTTAAAATTTTGTCACCTCATTTTTGTTCTAATTGTGTTGCTGTTCAAAATAGAGTTTACCAAGCCATATCCAAAAGATATTTAATAGCAAGAGCTGATAAGAAAATTGGCAGCAGAAAACTATTGGTCCAATTTATCTTTTTATGCCAACTACAAGGCTGCAGAAAGGTACATATTTTCAGCACAAGTGACTATCAATACTAAGTACATGATTGTGTGTTAGGTTGTTGAAGATCAGTGTGATAAGGAAGAATTTAGAATTATATCTTGGAAACCAGTCACATTTACGGGTGATGGTCAAGTATCACTATCTTTTGAGCCACATATTGTCCCTGGTTGGAAAAGAGAAGAAGTTGGAATCTCTCAAGACTATGTAAGTTATGTATACTATCAAAAATGTGCCATGCATGAAATAACTAATAGATTTCTGTTGAAGATATTGATTATTATAAAATGATGGGTTGTGAAAATGATGCAGAAGTGACTGAAGATGAACTTGAGCGGCTTAAGATATTAGAAGACCTTCTTTCTTATCCTCCTCGTTTCAAGATAGAATTTATATCAGATGCAGTAGTAGAAAAAAGTCAAAAGGTGATAGTTCGATTCAATCAAGTTCACCCTCCAGTAAAAAGCACAGTCCTGTTAGAAGGTTCTATAGACTTACCTCCTTCCCCATCTCTATCTGCAACTAGTATTGATTTAATTTCAAATGGTAAGTATTTTATGCACTTAATTTTATTGCACTATCTAATTCTTAGCAAATGATTCATTACTGGGAGATTGTCTTTGTATTATTGCAAGTGAAAAAGATATAAGAGAAAAATGGTTTGAATTTGGATATAAATTGAATCTTACTGTTGGTCAGCTTGAAGAAATTGAACAGACAAGTGTTGATCCCATTCAACGTACTAGAAAAGTTGTAATTCATTGGAGGGATCAGAATAGATCAGAATCATGGGAACCTTTTGCTGCAGCTCTTGCCAAGATTGGGTTTAAAGATTTAGCACATAAAGTTAAAGATCACTTTGATTCTCCTCCCGCACTTGAATCAGAACCTGAAGTTAATAAAGATCACTATAAGGGAGTTTATTGTAATCTTTGTAAAGAATATCATCTTAAACCTGAAGACATTCAACAAGAAATACCAAGTAAGTTGTGCTTCACAATAAATATATGAGATTAGATTACTTAACCTACTCTTGTTAGATATTATAGGTTATGTGTTTATAATATTTATGGTATAATTTTGTAATACTTTATAGATGTTGGCTTTCCTCCTGATATGGTTAATCTGACAAACTTGGTAGCAGCTAAGATTCCAGACCAGTTTTATCAATTTGGAACAGCAGTTCGTATAAATGATGGTTTCTTAAAGAGCCTCTATGATACTTATCATAATCCCATGGATAGATTCATTACAATTTTCAATAGATGGAAAGACAATGATCCTGACACTTACACATGGAGTACTGTCATTAAGGTGCTTGAGTCTGATGCTATTGGAGCTCATGCAGTAGCTCAAGATGTTAAGAAGCATCTTATTGCTATTGCAGAGGCGGCTGAGCATTAGTCCTCCAAACTAATGCATATACACTAATTTTATTATTTTTATTATTGTTTCCTATTATGAATTCATTGATTGTGTATTTATGTTCTACTTTTATGTTGATGACATCAGCTGTTTAGATTTGATACATGTAGATCATCAATAGTACATTTTTATTTATTTAAAAGACTCTGCATTAAAGGCTCATCATCAAAGTAGAAGGGTGTAATATTTAAGTCAAACATTTACTTAGCAAAAATATAAAAGCAAAAACACTAAATTTATAGTTTAGATCTGCATGCATATTTCAAAAAGCAAAATTAATTAATGTACATGTATGCATTTTTTATAAGGGTAATTAAGTTGACATCCATTCAAGAAGAGGTTCCCGGGCCTGAGTATAATCCCCTGTATCATGTATGTCATTATAATATGCAGCTCTTTGTCTTTGATGTACTGACCTCTTCCTTTTTAATTTCTCTGAGACCAATGTTTTTGTGGACTGTAAAAGTTGGAACAGTTTCCCTAGTTTATTTGTCACCACTAGGACATGATAGGTGATGATTATGCAGAAAATGATGATAGTGGGGCAAAACGAAATTGAAATAAATATTGCAACTTCTTTTGGATAATCATGAAAAAAATATATAGCAATGTAGAATGTAGTGCTGATGGATAGAAGAAGAAAGATGTTTACAGCATTGAGTATTTTATTTCTGAAAGGCAAAAAGCAGGCTTGAAATGCTATGAAGACTTGAAGTATTAGAAACAAAAGTAGCTCAAAGATTAATGAGAAAAACAAGTTTCCCAACTCTTGTACTGTATCAATTAGATACACATGCACTACAAAAAGCTGATTTATTGCAAACCAGTACCACCTATTTGCTTTGTAAGGTGCATGGATTGCTTCAAAGAAGGGACGAATGTACTCTCTTGTCCTGTCAAATTTTAATAGGCATTTACCAAAGAGTATTATGACCATATATGGAATTAATATAAATCCCACTACAACTGAAGTGATTATCATCAACCATTTATGTTCAACACTAGCATATGTTGTTGTTCCATTGTAATACCAAACTGTTTTGGTATGATATGAGTTTTCATTTTCAATGTGAATCTCTGCCGATTTGAACACACTGAGTATTGCTTGAAGTAATTGAGTGAATGAAAGATGAACCACTGTCACAAGAACTTGAACTGATGACTTAGACAAACGATCAGAAACTTTTGATGAACATTTACTCAAAATACCAAGAAAGCCAATAATGATAATTAAATAAACAGGAAAACATAAATTCAGCACAGTTTTATGTAATTCCGTCATTCCATTATAAAAACAAAGTGGAAAACCATGATTAAGATTCAACCAAGATATGAAAACACTAGAAGATTCAACAAAGTAAGACACATTACCACAATCACTGCATGGCACCTTTAAATATCCTACAATTCTAGCATTAGCTACTTGTGCAAAAAATATGATGCTGTTAAGTGTACCGGTTGCTAATGTTAATTTCAGTGTATACAATAGGAATACAAGGAGAGGACCAGCTAGTATATAAAAGACTGATGCAAGAAGCCATAAATTGCTAGTGCATGATTGACAAACTGTAGACCCAAAAACTATGCTATGATTAGAGATGCATTCTCCACAAAGATTTCCTGTTCGTGAGCCATGACATAATGGTTTTGAGTCTCCTATTAATGATGAAGTAACGAATGAGCCTGTATCATTGATTTTTAGTATGTCATGATGACTATGAATATTACAGTAGCCTGGGGGACAAGATAAGCTGTACTGAAGTGAGTCATTTTTTCCTGAGCCGGCCCACAAATATTGATAAGGCCTTGTAAAGCTCACATCATCAATATTGCACAGCAACTTTTTTCCATTTGAATTATGGTTGACGATTTTCTCAAAATTTGGTAAACACCCACAAGCTCCTGTAAAAGGATTTAGTTTGAAGCCAGGAGGGCAAAATTTCAGTGTGATTCTTTTTCCAGCAATCTTGCTTGGATTTGAAGTACTGAAAAGTAAAAGGCCTCTTCTATTGCTTTCTGAAAGTTGTTTTGTGTGAACAGTCAAATTCATGTTAGTGCAGTTTGTTCCTCCCTTAACAATAACATTATATGTATTTTGCTTACCATTAAAAAACCAGTCGATTCCTTTTACTTGATTATTTGTTCTCTCAGCAAATGATACCGTTAAAATGCTGAAGGTGTGGTGATGATTACTGTCATTGACACTGATAGGTATTTGTAGCAATGCCCCAGGATAGACTTCATATGAATACTTCCTGTTGCATACTATTATGTAATCACCAAATGAAACAACGTCAGTTAATGGAATGTGTTTAAAAATTTTACTATATATCTTTATCAAATCTCTTCCAAATACATTATTCATATAGCAGTTAGAATCAAAAATTTTCTGAGAATATATTGCATTTCCGGCTAATCGTGCAGAATTATTAATGAAGCTCATGCTAATATTTTTATAATGGCCTGAAAGTAATTGAAATGTGCAAGAGCCCCTCATAAACATACCTCCTGCAGCATATATAGCTCCCCCTAATGATTTAGCTTTATTATTGGTAAAGTTAGCCCTTAGTCCATCCTTCAAGTATACTAGACTATTCTCAAGCAATCGAATTGCCGGCCCATAATCAGCTCTATTATCACAGAATGATATAGTTCCTTGAAGTACAACTGTGGATTTTAGTATTTCAAAAACGGACCCATAATTTTGGGAAAAATTGCTAGGCTGTGCTTGTGACCCATTTATTATCAGTTTCTGTATGTTAACAAAATAAAAGACACTTACTGGATAGAATAATTTGATAAAATCAAATTTGCCATATACTTTTGAATCAGGATTGCTATATGCTGTAATAGATTCCATCAGAAAAGTTACTACTGATTGGCTACTAGTTGGACGGGTGTTAACATACATACCACCTCCATGATATTTGCCAGTGTTGCCAACAAACGAAACATTACGGAACGCAAAATTGATCTTTGGCTGTATTATAGCAGATTCATTTTGAACCACTGATAAATACACTGCTCCTGCACTCCACTTTTTTTTGTCAAAAAATGATTCTCCATTATTTGCAAAGTTAGTGTTCATGATTGTTATAGCATGGTGAACTTTATTGTGTGAATGACTGAAGTTATTGAGAATAAAGGAGCTTGCAATTGCTGCTCCTCGACACTTTGAAAGTAATGAATTCTCAAAAAAAATAGAATCATTAATTATTGTTTGTGAATCAAGCTTAGAATTATAGTGAAGGATTAACGCTGCACCAGCCAAGTACCCTAAACATGAACGGATTGTTGTTTTTGAAATAATAACTGTAGCTGGTATGCTAGCATAATGTTGCCACTGTTGCACATAGAGTATTGTGATACCTGCAGCATTAACAACCGGAAATGATGGCCAGGCCATGTCAGTAAGACAAGGTTCATTTTGCCAGTAATGATTAAATGCCAAGTTATTTTCAAAAGTCGAATTAGCAATGCTCAAGTTATAATTTGAATAATTTTTTGGAGCAATCTGCAGGTAGCTAAAAAGGACTAGGACTCCACTACCAATGCCAATTTTTGCAAAACCTGCTATGTGAAAATTTTGAGAATAGCTAACGTGAAGAAAATTAAAGGAAGCATTTGGAAGATTAACTGCTGCAATAGCAAACCCAGAGTAGTATACGAAATTTATATGTTGTACATATAGATTCCCAATATTAGCAAAAACCAATACAGCAGCATGATAACGAGTAAAATGTACAGAAGAAAATGTGGAGTTGATAAGATTAATAGACTCCTCATTCATGGTAGTGAGGTTTGTACCACAGTTGCTAAAATTAAGACCTCTCATGGTAAGGGAACCATTAATGCCAAAGAAAGCAAAACCTCTCGTCCAATATTTATCATTGTACCATATGTTATTTGGTATACAATTTATGTGTGCTAAAGTATCATCAGTACCATGCACATGTGATGGTGAGTGATTGACTGATGTTAACTGTACAGAAATTACCTGATTTGATCTCATGAGTGATGGTAGAATTGAGTGTAATGATGACATCACTGCTGTACAGGTCAGGATGGTAATCACACAAGAGCCTCTCCAGTTGATTGTTAGTATTGACACTAATATTAATAGGGGATCTTGATTGAACTAAAACTATCAAATGTAGAAGAAGAAAAGAAATGATATTCACCTTAGCCATAACATCTGCTGAGTCATAAGAGGCCACCACTTAAACTTAAAATGAAACTGAAGTAGATCTAGTAACAGTAGTGATAGCTAATTACTGAAAGTTTGTTATAATAATTAGTGTCTTTTTATCCGTTCTGAAAATGAAAATGCCATAATCACTATATGAAATAGAGTGATAACAAACATTGTGTATAAGTGGCACACAATGTAGAATATATACAAACAAGCTAAATTTTAGTCATGTTTTGATTTTACATTTTGTACACATAAAGCAAGCCATGAAAATATGATTTACATGTAGAGGGACAAACTCTATAGCTATAGAAATTTACGACAACTTGTCAATGGATATAAATTATTGTTTTTCTTAATATTCATGACACAATGCACTCTTGTTTTTCTTATGAACAGATAAACTAATAATTATTCAGTGTATAAACTGGTATATCTTTCACAATGACAAGTTTATTTGTATTGCCAATATCTAGCGGCACATGACATCAATACACTATAAAGTTAGATATAAACATTGTTTAATGTTTATAGATGATAACTGATATAAGGAAATCTCAACTTGTGTAGTATAGTTGGCTTCATTCATATTCATAACAATAGTGATTAATCAATCTAATATTGCTAGCTTGTATACTCTAAATATAGGTATACTGATATCAAGGAATAATGTTTCTTTAGCATATAAAATAATAAAACAATCTACACGCATATAGATCTAGTGGAATTGTTTTGATTTACTTCACATAATGAATTGGCAACTGAGTCCTCTCTTGCTCTTGATATTTTCTTTTCTTTCCATCAAAGCTTTTGGTAGGATACAACATCAGTATCAAGTGCCATCTGATGTTCTTAGGTCTGATGGTGGTACTAGGATAAGCGGCATACAGGACAGGATTGATAAGGATATAGTCCTGGGAGGTCTTTTCACAGTCTACTTCAGTTCTGGTGGAAGTAATGTTGGCAGCTGTGGTGATGTCATATGGGAAGATGGTATGGAGATGCTTGAGGCAATGCTATATGCTATTGACAGTGTAAACTCAGACCCCACTCTACTCCCTAACTTGACACTGGGCTATGATATAAGGGACACTTGTAAAAGAGAGAATGTGGCTATGGATGAGACTATTGATATCATCTTATCCAGTGGGGATTTGGAGCTGGAGAGTTGTGCAGTTGTAGATACTAGCATATCAGACCAAGTCCCAGTGTCAGTCATACTAGGAGCATTTGAGAGTTTCATTACAATACCAATGGCTGGCCTACTGCGTCTTTTTAAAAAGCCACAGATAAGCTATGGATCTTCATCGACTGCTCTGAGCAATCGTGAGTTGTACAGTTATTTCTTTCGTACGTTCCCACCAGATGATAAGCAGGCAAAGGCCATGGTTGATCTCATAGTCCATTATGGCTGGGACCACATCTCTACTATCAATTCCAATAATTTGTACGGTCAAAGAGGAATTGAGGAAGTGAAGAAGCATGCTGCAGCCAATAGTATCTGCATTGACTTTGATGCTATCATTACTGATGAATTCAAAATAGCAAACTACACTAACCTAGCAAATGAGTTACTAAATTCTTTGGCTAATGTAGTTGTGCTATTTGCTTCAGTGCATCATGTCCGTAGCCTATTGACTGAACTAGACAGGATACAAACTGAGAATAACAATGAAAGGCATTTTGTGTGGATTGCTAGTGACACATGGGCTGAACTGACAGATGAAGAATTCAATAATGTCACTGCAGGAAAATTTGGTTTTGCTGCCTTCTCTGAGAACCTCGATTCATTTGATAATTATTTTTCTCAGTTGCTCCCTAGCACAAACAACCGTAATCCATGGTTTTCTGCCTACTATGAGCAGTATTATGATTGTAAACTCAATGGAACATCAGTTTGTGACAACAGCAGTATTACTGATGCTTCAGACTATAAACAGTCTTCAGTTGTGCCTCTGGTGACAGATGCAGTCTATGCAGCAGCTCATGCTATTAATAACTTCATACAGGATAACTGTATTCAACCAGTCCAATGGTATCCAAACAATCAAAGCTGTTATGGATACAACCAGTCATTAAATAGAGATGCCTTGTTTGACTATATTAGTAAAGTAAACTTCTCGAGTCCCAGTAATAATTGGGTCAATTTTAATTCGCAAGGAAACATTGCAGCAGCAAAGTACAGCATATTCAATTACCAATTGATTAACTGTACTGCTAATGATTGCCCTTCATTCAGTTTGGTAAACATTGGGACTTGGGACAGCAGTGTTGATAATCGTCTGCTACTTGACCCTAACGCTACCAGTCAGTTTGGAATAGCTTCATCACCAACAGGAGAGTATGTGCCAATAATGGCATTGAAATCACAGTGTAAAGTATGTGGTCCAGGTCAAATCAAACGTATAGTGGTATCCTCATGCTGTGGTACTTGTGATCCATGTCTCGGACAAAGCTATACCAATGCTTCATTAACTAATGTTACATTATGTCAAACATGTCCTAATGACATGTGGGGCAATAATCCGTTAACTGGTAGCACTGGCTGTGTTGATATTTCTCACACATATCTTAAACCAACTGATGCATGGGGTATAGTACTGATTGTAATATGTGCAGTTGGATTGATAGCAGTTGTATTTGTCTCATGTGTATTTGTTAGGTTCTGGAATACTCCTATTGTCAAGTCTTCAGGAAGAGAACAAATGATACTTCTACTCATTGGATTGGCTCTCTGCTTTCTCGTAACTGTTGCTTTTCTCTTAAAGCCTTCACCAATCATTTGTGGATGTCAGCGTGTTGGTCTCTGGTTTTGCTTCTCTCTTGTACTGTCAGCACTACTAGTGAAGTTAATACGGATATCACGTATAGGTTTTCACAAGAGCATGTCAAACCGTCCCAAGTGCATAGGCCCCATTTATCAGATTTTGTTTACGTTCCTGTTGGTCAGTGTACAAATGAGCTTGGTTTTAGTTTCAATGATAATAGTCCATCCAGACACAACAACCTCTATCAAGCTTGACGAGAACAATCACAATGATAACCCAACTCTCATCCTACAGTGCACCTCCCCACACATTGCATTGATCATATTACAGATGCTGTATATCAGTGCTTTACTTATTGCCAGCAATGTACTAGCAGTCCTTACTATTAGATTCCCTGCTAACTTCAATGAGTCCAGGTACGTATCTTTCTCTACGTTTTCATTGGGTATAATGTGGTTCCTTTTCTTGCTCTCTTACATTGCTACTGATGACTCCACCATTCAGACAGCAGTGATCTCCTCGACAATACAATTGAGTGCATTGGCTGTATTGGGCTGCTTGTTTGGTCCTAGAGTGTTCATTATGATATTCTGGCCTAAGCAGAATGATCAGGGAACTGTAGCACCAGATCTACCGACTGCATATGAAGTATAAAACTGACCAAGAGTGATGGCAGTGTACACGTAAAAATTATCATTATTATAATACATAGTAGAAAAAGGATTCTAAACATTTATAGTTTTGCAAATATGCAATTGTTAGACTATTTTAAGTCTATATCTGGTTTCTAAAAATAATTTTTTAATACATTTTCAAAATCTTAAAAATGCAAATTTGAAATCAATGTTCTTCTCTGTTAAAGATTTCTTCAGCAACTAATTGCCAAATCAATTTAACGTTATGCTTCTTAAAACTGCTGACTTCAATATACCTTAGACCCAACTGGTCTGCAAAGATCCCAGCTCTCTCACTACTGATCACCCTCTCATCTTGTAGATCAATTTTAGAACCAACCAGATAAAGCAATGGATTAGATTGGTCTCCATAGTCACTTATCTTCTTAATCCATCCCGTTACGTTATTGAATGAACTCAGTGATGTCACATCAAACATAACCAAGCAAGCTTTACATCGACTGAAGTATGTGTACTGGATTGAACGGAATGTCTCTGCCCCAGCAAGATCCCAGCACTGGAGCAAGACCTCTTGTTCATTCTTGAGATTGATTCTCTTTAAACTCAAGTCAATTCCAAGGTTAGGGGTGTATGGTATAGGAGGATTCTCATACTTCAACAAACAGGATTTTCCAACTCTTGTGTCACCTATTAACAATACTTTATAAACAATCTGAGCTGGAATCTGGGTCATATTGCTCCAGTCAACCACACCTTTAATTCCTGCTATCAGATACATCACCTTATAATAACTATGAGGCTTGACTTATACAAACAATATGTGACCTTTAGTTCAGTAATGTAAGAAGACTGCTTTCATGATTTTGGTCATAATAATGGTTACATAGTCCTGCATGCATAGTAATTAAGATACGGTGAAGAATACACTGATTAAGATATAGTTCAAGGCACACCAAAGTCATGGGGCAAAAGTTCTTCCTGAAATAACTTACTACTTCAAAAACAAGGGTATCTATTGTATAACGCTCAACATGAGTACTAGGCTGTTAAGTTCTCATTAAATTAATTATTTAAAATGAAAATAAAATACAGAAATTGGCTATAAATTGACATGCATTAATTATTGAATAATGAACAAAAAATAATTATTATTTTTGTACTTGCAGTTTAGTTAGTATCATTAATGATTGAATGTGTACCACTAGTGTCTTTCTCTTTCCTCTCACAAGAGTTCCTGTGGCAGAAGGTACCTACAAATACACACACAGAGTTCATGATATGATGCTACAAAACATGAAAGCATGTACTTTAGTAATGACATTTACAGTGCATAATAATGATAGTAGGTTAGGAACACACGTACATGTACATGTCATTATGGGGAGGGCGATCCCACAAGTCATGCATGCACATTACAATGGAATGTCAACAAAATAAAAATCAAACATAATGCATCAAAAATAATAAAATTGGGAGTCATTTTGGAGTAAATTTACTAAAAAGCCATAGACAACTAGCTATTTCAGAAATTTGAAGTTTTAAAAAATATTTCATGAGTTCATAACTGGAAAAATTGAAGTCATGCAGGATTGGCTCAAACTTGCTATATACATAGCATAAGGACATCAATACATCAAGGACATCAGAAAATATAACAAAAGTTGAAAGTTATTTCAGAGCCAATTTTCAGGAAATATCATGTGCTATTATATTACAGGGCATCTTTCCAAAATTTGGAGTTTATAAAAAAGGTCATAACTAGAAAAATTGAAGTCGGAATGGCTCAAACTTTCTACACATAGCATCAGGACATTAGCATGTACTTAAAAATTATGATAAAATTTGGAGTGACTTCAGAGCCAATTTTTGGAAAGAACCACGGCCTTGGGTATTTTTCAGATTTTGGCCTATTTCTTAAAATGGCCATAACTTGAAAAATTAAAGTCAGATTTAGCTCAAACTTTCTACACAGCATAAGGACATCAATATGTATCAGAAAATGTAATAAAAATTTGGGGTGATTTTGGAGCCATTTTTTGGAGAAAACCATGGGCTATAGTACAGGGTATTTTTCAGAAATCGGCCAAATTTTTAAAATGGCCATAACTCGAAAAATACTTGTTAGAATCAGTTCAAACTTTCTGCATAGCATAAGGACATCAATATGCATCAGAAAATGTAATAAAAATTGGGGGTGATTTTTGAGCCATTTTTGAAAAAAACCATGGGCTATTATAGTACAGAGAAATTAAAAAAAAATTTCTGATTTCCTTAAATGGCCATAACTTAAAAAATTAAAGTCGGAATCAGCTCAAACTTTCTACATAGCATAAGGACATCAATATGTATCAGAAAATGTAATTAAAATTTGGGGTGATTTTGGAGCCAATTTTTGGAAAGAACCACGGCCTTGGGTATTTTTCAGATTTTGGCCTATTTCTTAAAATGGCCATAACTTGAAAAATTAAAGTCAGATTCAGCTCAAACTTTCTACACAGCATAAGGACATCAATATGTATCAGAAAATGTAATAAAAATTTGGGGTGATTTTGGAGCCATTTTTCGGAGAAAACCATGGGCTATAGTACAGAGTATTTTTCAGAAATTGGCCAAATTTTAAAAATCGCCATAACTCGAAAAATACTTGTTGGAATCAACTCAAACTTTCTGCATAGCATAAGGACATCAATATGCATCAGAAATTGTAATAAAAATTGGGGTGATTTTGGAGCCATTTTTCAGAATAAATCATGGGCTATAGTACAGGGTATTTTTCAGAAATCGGCCAATTTTTTAAAATGGCCATAACTCGAAAAATATTTGTTGGAATCAACTCAAACTTTCTGCATAGCATAAGGACATCAATATGTATCAGAAAATATAATAAAAATTTGTGGTAATTTTGGAGCCATTTTTCGGAAAAAACCATGGGCTATAGTACAGGGAAATTTTAAAAATTGTCTGATTTCCTTAAATGGTCATAACTTAAAAAATTAAAGTCGGAATCAGCTCAAACTCTCTACACAGCATAAGGACATTAATATGTATCAGAAAATGTAATAAAAAATTGGGTGATTTCGGGGCCGATTTTCGGAAAAAACTATGGGCTATAGTATCTGGTATTTATCCAAAATTTTGAGTTTATAAAAAGGTCATAACTAAGAAAATTGAAGTTAAAATAGCCCCAAACTTTCTAATTGTACATACATGTAGCATATAGACATCATTATGTACACGTATCATAAAATGCAAGAAAAATTGGAAGTGATTTTGGAGTCAATTTTTGAAGGATACCATGGGCTATATCGTGTACAAGGTATTTTTCTAAAATTTGGAATTAAAAAATCGTAACTAGAAAAACTGAAGTCGGAATTGGCTCAAACTTTTTACATACATGTAGCATAAAAACATCAATATAAATTTTAAAATGTAATAAAAATTGTGGCAATTTTGGAATTAGTTTTTGGAAAAGACCTTATTGGGTGCCCTATACCTGTATGATAGGTGATTTGGTGCTTAACTATTGCATTAAAAGCTAAATTTGCCATTTTTGTTCAATTATACACATTAAACAATGTAAATTTGCCAATTACTTCCCATGGTTACTCTAATTAATAAATCATTACGCAAATAAAAGTAATGATCAACCATTAATAGGAAAACTTTCCCTAATAGAACTGTAGTATGCACAGTGGCTCTGGGGGTACTACTGTAAATACTTACTAGTTCATGTCTAGTTCCTCTAGATTCTTCATTAAATTCTCATTGCATGACAAACTTTGCTTACGTAACTTATCACAAGATTCAGAGACTAGCTCTGACAACAGGAAATTCTGGAAATAACAAAGATTATAATTAAAAGGGAACATTAATAGACTCATTGAACAAATCATATGACTAACTGATATAATAGTACATTTAATCATTAATTTCAGGCATAGAGTAATAGTAATAAATAATGTAATGAACTAATGATCGTAATTGAAACCAATATGTTTTACATAATATTGATTGCAATATAAATACCATTTATGGAAAGGCATGTGGTTAAATTTTGTAATTCGAATCAAGTAAACTAAGCTCAAGGGGGAGCAAATGCCATTAGCCATAAAGAAACTCATTACATACAGTGCTTTAATTTTAAGACATTTTGCTGAAATATATATGTGCATGTATATACAGAATTCATTTACTGCACAAATGAAAGTACCTTTTCAATCCCCTCCAGCTCTTGTTCAATCTTCTTAATCTTTGTCTCAATAGTAGATCTATTTGTTGATTCTTAAATATCATCAAGCTTCTTGAGATCTCAGTTTCCTATTTTATATATACGTAATCCGAAATTATCCGATTCCCATAAATTATGTCAAACATAGTGTAGGATTCTTACCACACCAGTTTGCAAGTACCCTCTAGTTTCTTTACTTTTTTCCAATTCAATCCTAGGCTCACTTTTCCATTTCGACTTTTCGTGCATCACTGATGAATAGCCTAGGGAAGTTGCCAGGATCCTCTAGTAATATCGTGATCATCTACCTTTGATCCTGTGAGGTTGTGACAAAAAATAACATAATCATTAATCTATAGCCACGTCCACATTATAGATATCAACTTCATCATCATCAAGGTGCATTTATGGCGGAAAAAAGTGGATCTTGTAAAAGAGCCTCGCAGCTATCAAAAGGAGGCCCTCAACTCCCAAAGAATGGCAGTGGCCCGCCTGGAACAAAGAGTAAGATTCCTAAAAACTCCTACTAATCATGCTGCATCCAGTCCAGCGCTAGTCCACTGTGTCTGGTCTGTTCTTCCACCGAAGACGTTGGACTCATGGTCGAGTGCGAGTCCTGTTCAAAGTGGTCTCATTCCAAGTGTGTCGGCATAACACAGTCTACTGCTCCCTCCTTTCCTTTTGTCTGCCCCTTCTGTGTCAAGTTGCTCTTTTCCAGATTAGCTGCTGCGGAACT